CTTTATCAACCTAATAAGATTTTATCTCTCTTAGGTTAAACCACAAATCAAACGAATGTGATCAGAACTCAATCAATTCTGGAAAATGCCTCAATTGCATAACTAATGCCTATATTCAGGAATCAAGGGTTCATACAACGACGTCCTAACATATAAAGTTAGGGTTCTTCATACTCAATTGCAGAGGAGATTTACTCCATGGAAGAAAAAGGAAACATTATGGCTGAAGTGGAAATCATCGGGTTATAGTGAAACTCTTCTCCAGGTAGTCATCCACCACTCCAACGGAAGGGAATCGAGCTCCAATGGTCACTAGAGATGCTACAAATCGTTGCTTGGGTGGTCTTTCATCACTTTTTCTCTCCACAAAGGTCTCAACTCTATTTTTGGTCTGAAGAATCCCCCCCTTGCTGAAAAAACCCAAAAATCCTCTTTATATCTGCAGCTAGAGTGTTTCCCAATCGTGTTACAAGGTCGAGGAGTAGGATTCATACAGTGTAACATCAAATAGTGCGGTAGGGAAGGTTAGCCACCTCAAAGTCAATTCCCCAACCAACCACTCCTATTCCCCGGTCGTGGAATAGCACACACCGTACTGGGGATTTCTCCACCCGAGATCCACAGTCCAAAGCCCTAATCCATGATCAAGAAACATACTTCCCATACCGTGCAATTTGTCTTCACAACCTCCAAATCTTGTCTGCTCCCCAAATGCCATGAAACTTGCTCCAAAGCCCCCCTTGCGCTCTAGAACCTGAAACATCACAAATATGCACAACCTAGCATGAAATTGACTTAAATAGGCAAGCAATCGATCCTAAACGTCCAAGAAATGAAGGAATAATCATGTGTATTCGAACGTTATCACCCGTCCATAACATGGCAGTAATTGCTGGTAGTACATAAGATTATATACCATGTGGTATGAAACACTACAATGGTGTATGAATATACAATAGTGTAAAATGGTTGTATACATGATAGTATAAATAGATTATCTGTCATTTACCAAATGTCATCAGCGTCTTCTACTAGTTACCACTCTACAATAGGGTGGTATATTTGATCCAGAAATTGTCTTTTCCCAAAAAATTGTAGATCAAATAGATTACGATGTACTCATTTCTTAAAGCAAAATTTTAAAATTTTGAGTAAAAAATGAATGTAATTCCAAGATGGTATGAGTTTTACGTGCAAATGAATTCGTTCCTTCCGTGCAAATTTTTGAAATTCGAGTGAAAATAAAATGATAGAAAACAATTAACAGACCGTTTGGTACCAAATGAATCGATAATTCATTTCATTGTAAAATGAAATACCGTGTAGAATTCAATGTCAAATGAAATCTTGTGTTTGTTATGTCATATTCAAATCTTTAGAAATAAAATGATATGTTGTGGAGAATTCATTGTCAAATGAATTCCTGTGTTTGGTATGTCATATGTATAAGTAATTTACTTAATAAAAGAGGAGAATTACTACTCGACCTAACTAGTGGCTAGGCGGACACATACCTGAGTGACTTTTGCATCTAAATCAAATCAAAATTTTTAGTTTATTCCCCTTGGAATTGAAAATGAATTCTTTTAAATACCAAACACAAAAATATTTCATTTCAATATGAGGAATTGCTATAACTAGTTTCAAATCCATAGAATTCAAAATTTAGAATTGAAAATGAATTCTTTTAAATACCAAACACAAAAATGTTTCATTTCAATACTCTCAAAACTTATGTAATTCATTTATATTAAATGGTTGTAAAACAACCATTAAATTTCGGGTTGGATCCAGTCCTTAAGCCTCATTGCTTAAAGAGATTCTTAAACCATTTTTATTGGCTAATAGTAGATTAGGTAGTTAATGATGGGTTAGTAGTTAATAGTTAGTTGGAATAAATGAGATATTATGCAAATATAATTAATATTACTCATTAATGATGATCTTTCTCTCTCTCTCCCTTGATCTTCTCCATAACCCTCTCTCTCCACTATAATTAAAAGGAAATTCGAAATTAATTTAATTAAATATTATTATTTAATATTTAATAAATTCGAACTTAATATTTTTTATTTTAAAATGGAAATTGAAAATTAAAAATAGATGCTCTCTCACTTTGTGGCAACTTGCAATGCAGTATTAACGTTTTGCACTAACATTATCAACATTTATGAAATGAATCGTTAATAATGATTTCAATATACTTATCAATTCTTTACAATTACATTATTAAAATTTTTGGATCAATTGTTACCGTTTTATAGTTTCATCATCAACGCTTATGAATGAATCATTAAAGTTATGTAACATGGTCAATAACAGTTTGAATAACAATATCATTGATTTACAACATCTTTACTAATGATTCACATTTTCACATAATGTTTACAACTATCTAGTCATGTCTCTTCCAATGATTTCTAATGACATTATTAACGTTTTGTGATCCATTAATATTGCTTTACATTATCATTCTCAAGCATCATAAAGCACAATACTGATTTTCAACATTTTGGATATTTGTGACATAGTGCACATGTGTGATTCAGTGAAGCAAACATTAGTAAGGAAAACTATTAGCTCAAGCAAACCAACATTCACGCAACAACACCAAACTTTTAATAACAATACAATAAATCATTGATAACGAAAATTATTTCGTTGAAAATAAACACAAAACATCAATATAATAATGCCCGACTTCAACATTATAAAATGACATCAAACTTTTAATAATGATATTAAAAACCATTAATAACAAATGAGCAAGTCACTGATAAGGATATAGATTTTTGTAATAAAAAAATATTAACAAATTCAGATGCAATGTTTAATGTCAAATAGCACTAAAAACACGTTAATAACTAACATGTGTTTAATGACTAATGCAACCAGAAACTTTGATAATGATAGCAACTAATGGTTGTTAAGTACCTTACTGGATATTATTAATATCCTATTTTTCAAATATTGTTAATGCTTATACACACTCGTTAATAATGACACCAACTACGTTACTAATTTAGACTGAAAGGTTAATAACCATAGTTATATTATTAAACGCAAATTCACTTTTGCTAATGTCATAAACAAACGAATATCTAACAAGTATGCTTCTTGATAATGACATTTGACAAAGTTACAAACATAAACAAAAAATATTAATAATACAAATCACTAAACATAACCAATGATACAAATGAAATAAATTGTTGCTAATTGTTGTATTGTGCTAAAAAAAACTTTGATAATAGCACTTCACGTGATTATAAATCATTGCACACTAAATTGACAATACAATGTAATAGTGAATGAACTTCAAGTACCAACAAATTGAAAACACAATTTGGATTTTGATAATGTGACAAACAAAATAAAACATTAAAAAAGTTAATAATGTCATATAACATTATTAAAAAGCCTATCGAACAACATTAATAATTATACAAACGAATACCTAACAATAAAAAATCCTAAACCCAGGCAACGAAAAGCCCTAGTGATGATTCGATTTATAAATGTTGATAATGTCATCACAAAACGTTGATACTAAATTGCAAGTTGCCAAGATGTGAGAGAGGCTATATATTTTAAATTTTAACTTTCCATTTTAAAAAAGGAAAATTATTAAATTCGGATTTTATTAACAATTAAATAATAATATTAAATAAAATTAATTTCGTATTTCTTTTTAATTATAATGTAGAGAGAGTTATGGAGAAAATCAAGGGAGGAAAGAGAGAGAATCATTAATTAGTAATATTAATTATATTTATATAACTCCATTTATCATTAACTACTAACCCCATTAACTACCTAATCCACTATTAGTCAATAGGAAGGCTTTAAGATCCTACTTAAACAACCAGGATTAAGGACTTGAACTCAAGCCATTAAATTCACCGTATAAATCTGGCGTACTCGGTTAGGGTATTACGCTAATTACGAAGGAAAAGGGAAAAAAAGCGGCTCAAGATAGGGTGCATAACCCATGGTTATGCACCCATCAATAACCAAATCTGGACCCTTCATTTAGAAAATCCAGATCTAAGGATGGAGAATTAAAGGCTATTTTTATTTTCATTAGCTTTCTTAATTGACTCATATCTTTTTCGTTTTAACTCGGATTTTAATTTTTTTTGCACAGATGGAACGAGTTCACCGTGCTCTACAAAATGAGATCAATTTTCAATATTTTTTTAGGAAAAAAAATTATGGGCTCTCGGTACCAATTGCATGCCATATGGTATCTTCTTCGTTTTTAATTCGTTTTTGAAAACATTTGCACAGCAGGGATGAGTTCATCATGATCTACTGGATCTACAAATTTCTGGGTGAACAAATTACAGGACCAAAAAATACCACACAATACCATACAATACCACCCTGGTACGGGGTGGTATTGTATGGTATCTTCTTCGTTTTTAATTCGTTTTTTAAAACGTTTGCACAGAAGGGACGAGTTCATCATGATCTATTGGATCTACAAATTTCTGGGTGAAAAAATTACAGGACCAAAAAATACCACACAATACCATACAATACCACCCTGGTACGGGGTGGTATTGTGTGGTATACAATGTTAAAAGTCGTAAATTACAATTAATATACTTCTACTATCATGTATTCAACCATCCTACAGTATTGGTTTGTTTATACCACCATGGTACGTTTTTCAAAACATAGGTATGCTTTTATTTCAATACCAGTCAATACCATATGGTATAGGCTGGTAAAAAATGGCTCAATTTTTTTTGTTCGAAAAATATATTAAAGTGGATATCATTTTGAAGAGCACAATTAATCTGATCTAACTGTGCAAAAAAAATTAAATTTCGACTTAAAATGAGCGAGAAATAGTCCGTCAAAGATTAAAGAGGGAAAAATTAAAGGCTTTTCATGAGAGAGAGGATGCTGATGTAGACGGATTACTCAAGGTTACGTACCATAAGATTACTGACCTGATTCATTATAAAAAAACTGGGATCATTTTAGCCTCGCCACGCACAACGGCACAATGGATTTTAGATAGGCAACGCACCAATCATATCCCTTGAAGCATACACGTGTCGTGTGGAGAATGAGTATCCAAGCCCCAGCACAGGAAGAATATCGCAACGCCGGAAACTGGAAAAAGGAGAAAAGCTGGGGGGAAAAAAGACAGTGGTAGCCAATCCAAGTCAAACAAAACTGAGGAGGAGAAAGAGCGTTAGCCGGGGATAGAGAAGAGCCAGAGCCGAGAGTGTAAGCAAGCCCCCCCACCCCCCTCGCCTCTCTCAACCACGCAATCCCTTGAAATCCCATGTCGGCGACGATGTACGCGGCGGCTGCTACGGCGGCTTCCCCCACTTCCCTCCTCCTTCCTGGCGTCTCCGCCGTCAGAACGGCGCGCTGCTCTTTCTTACCTCTCCTTCCACCTCGCTGCCCCTCCCGCTTCTCGCCTGCTTCCGTCAAAGTGCTCTCAGGTACTTCGTCCGATTGTTACTTGGCCCAGTTGCCATGGTTCATCTGTTTGCTAGATGTACGTTTTGGGAATTCTGTGCGAGCATTTGCCAACTCGCCTAGTTCAGACAGAGGTTGGAATTCTGTTTCCTGAAAAATCAGGATAATTATCAATTGAAACCTATCAGACGGGGGGGTTGGTTTCTTCTGGCCGTTTGTGATGAATAGTTTTTTTTTTTTTTTTTCCTTCTGTGAGTCCATTCTTTATGATTGAAAGCAATGTGCATTTGTTCTTGCGGCGCTACCGAATGCCAATATGTTAGGGCGGGGGAATCAAGCTCTTGTTTGAGCCATTTTTTTCTTTTGGGTGGGAGTTGTTCGAGCCATTGATTTTTTTATAATGAGTTTTAGTACCTTTGTTAGAGTGGCAATTAGGAAAACTTGGATATTGGTAGTTGATATGGAAGTAGGCATGAGGATGATATATGCTAACTGAAGTAGTATTTTCCCTTTCACCTATGAATACCTACATGCCTATTGTTTCTTCTTCATCCGAAGCAGAGTCCTCCAGGGTTTCTCTGCTCCAGACCAGAGCCACCTCTTCAGATGAGACCTCCACCTCGGTCGATACTAATGAGATCTTCACTGATCTGAAGGAGAAGGTGAGTTTCAAGACGGTGGTGGTTTGTAGTATAGGGAACTTAGCTACTGTATTATTTATATATTTCCACCTCGCCTTTTCGAATGCTTGGCTGTTCAGCCCCGAGACTTTGCTGTTGAAATTGGTGAAAGTATTCTGAAAATGTTTGTACCTGAGTAGTGGGATGCAGTTGAGAACAAGTCCACCGTGCTTCTCTATGGAGGTGGGGCAATAGTTGCTGTTTGGCTATCATCCATTGTTGTAGGTGCCATCAACTCTGTGCCTTTGGTAAGTGGGATTTCTTCTATCCTAACAGATGGTGTGCTGTAATGTGGATGACAATGCTTGTTTACGTAATATATATGTAATTGCCTACATTTCTTTCCCCTTCCTTTTCTACAAACTTCCAGCTCCCCAAGATCATGGAGTTGGTTGGCCTTGGCTACACCGGATGGTTTGTCTACCGATACCTCTTGTTCAAGGTAAGGGATTGTAGTAACAACCCCCGAGTTGGTTAACTACTTGGCCTTGACGTTTCCTACAGAAACTACTTCTGATTGTATCAGTATGGTTAATAACACCTTCTTTCTTGTACTTGTCAGCAAAGCAGGAAAGAACTGGCTACAGACATCGACACATTGAAGAAGAAGATTGCTGGGTCAGAATAAGATCCAAGTTAATGAATGCCAAGAAGAGACAAGTAAATGTATCTTTGATCTTTTTTCGATATGTTTGCATGGTGAGGAATCACGTCTGTTATATGGTGTAGTAAAATGTGGAGTATAGGGTTACCTATGACTGGAATTCATGCGACCTAAGTGTTACCCCATTGTTGTATTTCGCTTTTCTCGATCTGTAATAAAAAATAATGGAGATTTCATGGAAGCGTTCAGTTCATCCTTTACACTGTTGTGAACAATCTTATGATGACTACTCATCACAACGGACTTCCATAGTCTAGCAATTGTGAGATGAAGCTCTTCGTGTGCATAGATTTAAGTTGGAACTGAAAAAAGAACAGAGGTTGAAGCTAAGGAAACTAGTAATTGAAACAAGCAAGCAAGTAAACTTTAGCGAGTTCGATTTGAGAAAGCATCACACGTACATTGCAAACGACTTAATTGAAGAATCGATTGAGCTCGAATCAAGAACGAAGCGTTCTTAATACGAACTTGGATAAAACGGAACCAAAAGGACGATTCCATACCCGGGGAACGCTCGATTGGATAAAGGGTAGCTGCTCGACCACAATTGAAAGGATATTCAATCGATACAAAGCTCACAAGCTTGGAAAACTCAAACAAGTCGCAACTTGCACAAAACCAAAGGATTTGTTTTTCGATTAATCAAAGTCTTGTGTTTTTACAACGTAAATGGAGGGCTATTTACAGCCAATAAAACCTAATACAAATCTAGATGAACAAGGAAACAAATAAGGTAAAAGTCTACGCTAAAAAGGACACAAAATTCGGGTTTAAACTACCTTTCTTGAAGCACAAGTAAACCGCCAACAAAACATCAAAAGAGTACTAACTTCACGCCTTTCGTTCGAGGCCTTCCATAACTCCAATTCTTCATCCAATTCCTTCCCTTTGTTCAAAAACATACATAGTTTTATGTTGTGGAAGCCTTTTGACTTGAATCTCATCCATGATCCTTGAATTGAGCTCCAAAGTTGGCTTCACAAAACAGTTTTCTGCCTTGGCCATTTTCAGGCAGTTTTCCAGTTTTGAGGTAGCAACTTTGAGGCCTTGGAAAACAACCTTAATGACATCATCCGGATCCACAAAGCTATCATTGGAAAGATGGTAACTTTATCTGCAAAAAAAACCCTTAAAATTGAATTTCCACCAAGCTAATTGAGAGATCCATGCCTCCAAAATATGTACCCAACGAGTTTACTTGGTTTGGGTAATTGTCATCCTTACTGCTTGCGGTTTAACCTTTCCCTTTTTGCATTTTTCCCAACCTGCTGTGCTGTGGTTCTCTACCATGAATGCCAAACAGAAATTACAACATAAACGGAGGGTAATAATGAAAAGAAAAAACTTAAGAGAATACTAGGCTTTCAAGAAAAGCGCAAAAGGTAAAAACGAGAAGGGGGTATTTTCCTATACACAAGTACAAATTTCCCTTTCTACATAAAATAGCTTAGCAATTTCTTCTTTCTGGATCCACCTTCTCCATACAGATCATTCCATTGCAGGAGCTCGTTCATATTACTGGATTCAGACGACACACTTGCACATACCTACATCAAACGTTTCAACCAAATGCTCAAACAAAATATCTAGGGGAAACTTGATCGATAATTTCGAACTTTAAACCGAAGCAAATAATGTACAAACAAAAAAAGAGAAGAAAATGCAAGCCTGACACTTATGACCTCATTAGCAAGAGGAAAAAGGGTGAGCTACCTGCTCATGCGCATATCTGAAATCCTCCATTTTAAGCTGACGCACATCAGAACTACCATACAGTGAAGGTGTAGGTCTTTTATCAGACAGCGCCACATTCCTCTCCTGTACCACCCAATTCCATCACAACACAACATTAGGCCACTAATTACGAACGACTGACCAACTACAGCAAAACAATCCGTTATTAAACCAAAGAGACGTGCGGAAGAGGAAAGATCACCACTCACCTTCTTCTCCTTCTCCAATATTTCTCTTATGGGACAATGAGCTGCAGTTACACACAGGTTCTGAAACCAGGAGATGGAAAACATAGCTTGTCAAACCAAAAGGACATCAGCCAGGAAGCCTCACTTGACACACTGAAAAAAGACAATTCTTTTACCTTTAAATCACTTCCAGAGTAACCATCAGTAATACTCGCAACTGCTTCCATATCTACATCGCCTCCCAGTTCTTCTTTGGCCAATATGACCTTGAGAATCTTTTCTCGATTTGGTGCATCAGGCAAGTTAACCATCAACCTAGATTTGCAACATTTGTGTAACTATGTTAATCATCTGGTCCTTCTTAACTTCATTTCATAACAAAAGTAATTACAGAAAATAGCAGGAAAAGGGCAATCCCAAAGCCACAACAGGAGCCGAGATTAAAAACAGACACACACACACACCTTCGCGGGAGCCTCCTAATAACAGCTTCGTCAAGATCAAACGGCCTGTTAGTGGCAGCAAGAACTAACACCCTTTCTTTATCTTTTGTACGCAAACCATCCCAGTTCACCATGAACTCATTCTTCATTTTCCGCATAGCTTCATGTTCCCCAGGATTCTCACGTCTTCCCAACATGCTATCCACCTAAAATGAGCAGAGACTAAAAGTAAAAAACCACAAAATCCAAATATCAAAGCCTTCGGGCTAAAAATCAGTGTGATTTTTCCTGATGGAGTGAATAAAGAGGATGAACCTACCTCGTCAACAAAAATTACACTTGGAGCAATTTTGCTAGCTAAAGAGAACACGGCCTTCACATACTTCTCTCCTTCACCAAACCACTGCAGTTGGTGCATCAGTCCTAATACTACCAAATCAATTCCCTACAACCACATCACCAACACACTTACCTTCGAAGTGATGCTTGACATGGATATGTTTACGAAATTTGCACCAGCCTCAGTTGCTACAGCCTTTGCAAGCATTGTTTTCCCGGTACCAGGAGGACCAAACAGCAATATCCCCTTGCAAGGCTGCATCGTTACCAGATTCTTAGTACCACGACACTTAATATCAAACACAGAATTAATGACTAAACATCACATTAAACTAACCTTAGTCAGCTGCCCTGTGCAGAACAGTTCAGGCCTCTGAAGAGGAAGCATTACAAGTTCCTTCAATGTTTCCTTAACATTTTCCAGGGCACCAATGTCATTAAACGAAACTCCAATATCATTTGGAGGAATAACATCAGCTAGAAGCTTCTTCTCAAATTCATTTTCAGTCACAACATCCTGTAAAATGTTTCGAATTATTAGTTAAGTGCCACAAATTGCCATCAAATAGTACAGTGCATTCCATTCCATCAACTTTACCTTGAGGGATTTCTTCAAGCTCTTGTTCTCATTCTGTATACCATGAAGAATGCTCAATCCGTAGTTGATACTGCAAAGTGTGCAACCAAAGCAAACATTAAAAATAATTTACTAGAAAAAGATATTATTAACTTAAAAGCAAGAAAGACAATGTGAGAACAGAACCTTTCTGTTGATATTGCTAACTTTGCATCTGTCAGAGAAGCTTCTGAACAATGCATGAAGTGGTGGCTTAATGCCCAACCCACGACTTTCTCTACACCTATTATTTGGAGAGAAAAACACCAGTCAAGAATGCATGTTTCAATCTCAAGGAGGCTGGATAATGATAAAAGTTATGAAAAACTGACTTTCAGTTGTCAACGCCTGATCATTGATGCACAGAGACTCGAGATCAGGGCATTGCAGGCCAACTCGAGCAAGAACCTAGACAGTTGACAATTCAAGAAATGCAAACCCAGTGTTAATATATAATATGGTACTTTACAGTAAATATCAAGATACAGAAGTAGAGTACTTAAACACCTGAACAGAGCTGGTTAACAGGCAAATTTCTCTTCGGACATTTCATGTTGTACCATTGTTACATTATCTATCACTTCATAAATTGGATGCTATAAATTGATTCATATGGGCTCTTCTCATAGTCATATTCAGCATGCAGGAAAATAGTGTCCAAAAAGAAATTACCGGAAATGACAGCCACAACTAGGGATGCTTACAGAACGGATTGTAATAATATTAGCCTGCGCTTTCAAAGTTTCAATATCACGATCCAACTGCTGCTTCCAGTCCAAGAGCAATGCTTCTTCCTGAAAAAATCTCTAAAATGTCAGACATTCATCCAATTCTACATCCTTCCATATCAAAACAATGTAGGATCTGAACCTGAGGTAGCTGAATGGTCACTTTGTTGGGAAAAAGCCTTGAGAGTTGCTTCATTGTTTTAGGAGTCTCCTTGCTTTTGTCGTGCAGTCTACCTAAGTTATCCTGAATAAAAGAATAGTAGCATCAATCATCACCCAATAAAAAAAATATATAAAACTAAACCATCAAATAGCAACCCATCATAGTAATACCAATATAATTAGCCCAAATGTTATATATCACTTGAAGTATGCCCATAAGATGGAACGTAATCGAGACAATGCCAGGTTTAATCGAAACAAATTAACCACCTGTCATGTGCAATTAGATTAAGTGAAAGCACAACTTAACAACACTCTTTTGCCAATAATGAACTTTTGCACTGGATACCCTTGATACAGGCCTCAAGAATGACCAGCAGAGCCATAAGTATATAGGCATATAAGCAAAACTAAATTGTCATGTGTATCTAAACAACAATTAAACTAGAACAAACTATAAATGTCTCTGAGCTTCAAATCACTCTGCAACAAAAACATTAAACATTTAGAGCAGAGGGAATGAGTATAATCCTCAATGATGAATACTCAGCAGATCACAAGCGTCCTTACATGCAATTGAAACTAATGCACCCAAATTTCCAGCACTAACAAAGCAGGTGAAAAAAAATTTCCAATGGAAACCAAGTATTTTGAATTAATAAGAGGAATTATAAGCTCTACTAGATTAGTGGTGGCTTACAGGAAATGCAAAATCAAGCAAAGCTGTGTGATTGCTTCCAAACTTGGTAAACAGAAGCCCACCAGGCTGAGACTGCAACAAATTAAGTAGTCAGCACAAACCAGACAAGTCATCATAATGAACGGAGAGAAATTAAGAAATCGTAAAAAAGAAAACAGACACACACACAAGGCAGAAACTGCTACACTTGAAGTGTGTACCTTCTCTTTTCGACTGTCCATATGGGCATGGGATCCAATCACAATAACCCTGTCTGGTAAATTTTCCAGCTTACTTTTTAAGGCAGTATATGCATCTTGGTTGCCCGCCACAGACTTCTCTATGTCTTTTAGAAACACTATTAATGGACCACCTTTACTTCCGGTCAAAACAACCTAGACCACAAGTCCTAGATCAGATGGGATGCAGGAAGCCAGTAGCAGATAACTAATGAAAAAGACACAACGTACCTCAAAGAGTTCATTGACAGCAAGCCTGTCAAGCTCTTCGCCTCCAGAGCTATCTAAACGAAGTGAATGGGCTAAAGATAAAAGAAATAATCAGAAACATTGCCTTACAAGATACTCAACAAATGAGAATAGCAAACTTCCTGAATATGAGCCATGGCTAGAACAAAGTACCAGCACAAAAGAACCCGCGATCTTCTTCACAGAGGCCACCAAGATCATTGCCTTCTTGAATGGATCTATCAAATCTCACACCAATTTTTGAGGATCCATTTTCTTCAAAAGCAAGAAGTACCTTGCCACGAAACCCAACAGCAGGTCCCCTGACAAGAAACCAAAAGAAAAGATCAACTACGCGAGCATAGCAAAATTTTGGCATCGAACAACCGAAGCTAATGCATCAAGACATCTATTATCGGGATGCTTTTGTCACCTCGAAAATCAAAGACAGTTTGGCACCACCAACACGACAGTACAACAACCTATATGGCAATAGTACCTTAGTGGAGGTTGAAGAGGAGACAGTGCCGATGGTGAAGAGATACCAAAATACTTCACTCTATCACCTGGTGCACATATAAGAAAGTTAGCAACTGATTTAAATAGATCATGTGAAGAACCAAGAAAGCAATAAAGCATGTCAAGTGCTCTAGTGCCACAAAGGAAAGCTAACATACCTGTTTTAAACGTGCAGTGCTTGGATGAGGCTGTAGAAGTTTCCTGCTTCGGAAGAGCTTGAGAGCTTATTATTGATCCGCCAGTTATGTCAGCCTCCACACTAGAAGCAGGCTTCTTATGGTGTAGTGCTGATTGCATAACTCTTTTGGAAAATAACGCTCTGTCAGGTCTCAAAATTTCTTTCATGGGATCAGCTTCTTTGGGTGTTGATCCCTGCAAGTATTGCACAATAAAGTGAAAGCAAAATAGATTAAGAAGGTTACACTTGTATGTCCAAAACTTGGGGCAGAACCGCAGAAGGGGGAATTCTCTAGGGTGGGAGATTTTAAGGAAACAGGAACTGAACCCTGGGCATGAATCTAAAAAAACAGTAAAATAATAAACAAGAAGTATAATAGTATTCAGGTAGACAGCTCACTTACACCAGGCAATTGTAGGGAATCAACAACCAACAGTCTAGCTCCAACATCTTTTGCAAGTGCCTTTACAAGTCTCCCCTGATATATCTCTGATCCTATCAAAAAGAAATAGAAGATAGACATAAAAGGCATTCATAAAGCTAAATAAGAAATAGATGGATATGAATCATCACCAAATTTAAACATTAATCAAGAAATATATAAACAGTACCTGCAGGACCAGACAACAATATTCGAGGTGATACCGTAGGTAGTTCAGAAGCAAATTTAGCTACTTTGCAGTTACACTTCAAGTGAACAAATGCAGCCCCCACAAGAACTTTCTTTGTTGTATCACTGAAACAAAACTAATGTCAGTAACAAGGGGTGAAACAAATAAGCAATAGAAGCTATCAAGAACAAATATTTCAGCAGAACATCATTTTTAAGCTGCAACATTATAAAAAAATTTGCAAGAACTTATATTGTCAGCCTCTATTGGACAGGCAACAAAGCTAGACAATGATGCAACTTTAACTAACATGGGAAATTGCAAACCTAAGGTAATAAGGGAAATTTTCAAAAGAAACTTCGATGCTTTCAGGGCTCAAGATTCCTTTTTGTAGATTGTCTTTGAATGCTTGCCGACCAGTAGAAAGCAGAATCGCAGAACGATCAAGATCCCTGAGTAACTCCTTCCGTCCTTCAAATATCTTTGCAATTTCTCGTTGAGAAGAGGAACCAGCAAGCATCTGCAAAAGAGGCCTTAATTCGGAAATAGGAAAAGGTGTCTTCCCAGTCTCTCCATCTGCACAACAGTCCATTGGAAGAGCTTCGAGATTTGGGTTTTCACTGGCACAATTTTCAGATGGAACGAAAATGTCCTCCCTTGGTGGAACGAATGGTTGCTCGCTATTGTTTGTGCTATCCTTCATGTCAACTTCTGGAATATGATCACCAGGTGTTATACCAATGGGAGATAGGATAGAAGGATCAGGTTTATTTTGAGTATCCTCGCCAGCTTTTGAAGCATGAGGGAGAAATAAATCTTTGTGAACATTCGACAAAGATGCCAATATTGATGCTCCTGCAAAGGCTGAGGAATCTCCAGATCTTGCCTCAAGAGGGATCCCTTTGGCTCCAGCACCCTGGGCTTCTAAAATGCTCATAGAAGCTAAACCTCGACCTCCCAAATTGTTATGGGGGAACTGCTGAAAGATCTGCTCTCATTTGTTAAAGAAATAGCGAGTATTACAAACAGTTTCTCAATAGTAAGGAATTGCCGTTCTGGGATATGAGTGAAAAACATAATGACGAACTAAACACAAAAACTAATCAAGTTCACAGAAGCCAACAGCAGACAAAGGATACATAAGCATGTTCCCCAGAAGAGTTGAAAACCACCTCATCTCCTGCACTTAACATTGCACGGGAACCTTTGCGCTGCACCTTACCATTAACCTGGACTGTTCCTTTACCTCCAACAACTTCCATCATGGCAGTAAAAACACCTCCACACTATAAACAGAAACAATAATAAATCAATGAGAGAGACGATCAAAGTTTGAAAAATGAGACAAGACAAAAGAAATTACTTGATACGAAAAGACCAGGGAGTAGCATCTCATAGTGAGGTATGATAAAAGAAATCACTTGATACAAAAGGACTAGAGAAGCATCTCATAGTGAGGTAAGATAAAAGAAATTACTTAATACAAAAAGACTAGAGAGTACCATCTCACAGTGAGGTATCCTCATCTAGCAAATGATATGCAAGGCGAACTCGACGTTTGACAGGCAAATAGCAGAGAGAACATACCTCTATTTGTTTCAGTCTGCATAAAACAGAACTGACAGTTGAATCATTAAGCCATAAGTTGCTTTCAGGGTTTTGACCAACAGTGAAAACTGGGCCACATAAGGGCATGTGAGGATTCTGAATCGAATGAAACATAATTACATTAGAAACACACATCAGCTCCACAGCAACCAACTTCAAATGACAAAATAAATAAATAAAAGCACAAGTCAATAAGAATTTCAAAACACCTAGAGGCAGAAATTTAAATTGACTCAAATGATACATCAACAACTATGGAGATGCTTTAAGTACAGCACAGTTAGTAAGACGTAAGAATGCATGTTGCACATACAGTAAATCCTATGTAACCCAGAACGCCAAATGAGTCAATTAATCCCAAACATTAATAGACTGCGAAGAACATGAAAGCAAAAAGAGTTTCACCCATTCTCTCACATTTCTCAATCACAAATTTACATGGCATGAGACAAACTCATCAATTGTCCCCACTGGTAGGTGATTGAGATATTAAAATAGCCTCGTTAGACAGCAATTAATGCCTTGTTAGACAAAGTCCAACCAATAGCCCAGCGGTTCTCCAAAAGCCATTTATCAACATAGGCACAACATTAACCTGCATGAAAGGCCACGCTAATCACAAAACAAGAACACCAGCCCACAACAACGAATATTTTCTCATCTAGTGTTATCATTGTAAAACGAACAAGTTTAATTATCTCATCCACTGTTTTATACTCTAGTTTTCTAATTGCAAAAACCTTACGGATGCCAGTCCCAAATGATAACAACTCGTGACAGCAGTTAGCTAACAAATTATTGTCGAAGTCTTAGACATCCAAACTACCAAAGATCTCTCCTAAATGTCAAATTCCAAAGCAGTAGTGATGCATTTGCAATGTGATCTACTATTCTTCTTGTCTGGAACCCTGGCTAGAACTATACACAAGCGGTACCGAGTAACAAAGTTGCAAATCCTCCAAACATCGATCCAAGTCACTCTAATATACACAATGCTAGGTGGCAAGGTCCACCATACCAAACACGGGTTAAAAAACATGCAAAACACAAAACAAAGAGGGTTTTGCAACTCTAAAACACCTCAATCGTTCAAATCAAAATCAAACCTGCAGTACATAGCAAATACTTGAATAACAAGAGATGAAACAGGTACACAACCTACTGCCTTAAAGAGGCAAATGTTAATCAAATATGTTCTAACCCCTAACTATTCAACAGAACTAGATATACTACAGAACAAAACAGATAGAACAATAGAAGAAACAGAGAATGGTGACACACCACAAGGAGGGACACACTCGCCCCACCCACCCACGCACACGTACATAATACAATCTAAAGGTGCAATGAACCCACCTTCGAGTACTGGCAAAGGAGCTTGGCCCATGCAACCTGCTGATCCAATTTCTCAAGCTTCTTTTGCCCCTTCTTAGGCCGAGTAGATAGTACACTAACTGCTTTGGATTTCTCTCTGTTCAATGCAACTCCACCTACACCCAAATGAAAATCAAACAAAACTCAAATCATCCCCACCTCCCGAAAACAAACCCTGAAAGAAAGATTCATTTTTAAAACCCAGAAGCAGCATGCATCAAGATTGACGAAAGATTGCACCTTGAGTCGGCAGAGAGACCAGATCCTCAACTTCCGCATCCATGGCGTCGCTATCAGGAGTTTTGACGCCATCAGCAGGCACGTCTTTTGAAGCGCCAGCCACTTGCGGGTCAGAGGATGATAAGTCGGGCATACGAGGCACAGAACCAGAATCCTTAGCCACAGTAAGGGTTTCAACCGGCACAGACACCAGTGCATCATCATTCGTCGACGATGACGCCTCCGCTGACTGGTACCCACAAAATAAAAAACAAACAATAAGAGACATCGAGTCAAAGCACCCTCAGGAATCAACCATAGACAGAGGAACAATAAAGAAAAAGGGAACTAAAAACAGAAACCCACAAAGAAAAAACAATTCCGCCAAGAATTCAAAGTTCAACCTTGGATCTTTTCGATGGAGGAGGAGAGGAAGAGCGGGCGGAGGAAGGAATAGGGCGTTTGGAAGCGGAGGAACTGCGCCGGGTTTCCACCATCTCGGTTGATGGTTGGCTTCGGTGGTGGCTATGGGCGGATTCTCTGATCCACCAAGAGCTCGGGTTTGTTTGTTTGGTTTTGTCTGAACACAGATAGAGAGTAACTAGTTGAAAATGAAAATGAGAATAAAAATTGATAGAGAAGAAAATAAATATTTTAAATTTAAAGGTGTTAATAGAATTTTCAAAAAACATTCACTCAATTTATTAAATTACTAATAAATTTTTCGTAATATATATTAGTTATTTTCATGTAATTGTTAATAATTTTGTAACTCTTTCTGAGTTAAAATAGTAAATTTTTGGAATATTGATTTTCATATGTCTCGTCGAAGTTACTATCATGTTGTCAAGTCAATATTACTAACAAAATTGTTAACTGAAAGGTAACAATTAGCTAATTATTAGTAATTTAATAGGTTCGCCCAATAAAAATTAATGCGAAAAAAGTTTGGCGAATAATTAGTGTTTCCCCTAGAATTTTATACATATCTACTATTGCAAATTAACAAACGTGTCCCTTTACTATATTTTTTCACTAGTGTACTCATTTATCAAAACATAATAACAAACGTGTTCTTCCTTCACTATCTTCGTCAAGTGATAGTGAAAATATAAGAAATGGCTACATTACCATTTATTTAATATAATTATATGATTCACAGTGTTTAAGAAGACGCGATTAATCTCTCGCTAGGAGCGTTTAATAGCTGGGCAGGAGGAAATCGTCCCGTCTAGCCCTGGGTGATTGATCTAGGCGTGCTAAAGGATTAATCTCCATGGAAAACGCCTAATTGGCGCCTAGGCACTCGGAGACGCGCTTTCACAGTGTTGGGTGACGCCCAGAACAACTAATAAAGGGGAAAAGTGTAGCATATTCATGAAAAATCCCAAACCCTATTAGATTTCCCATTTCCATTTGACCAGCAGCTCCCCCTCATCGACCAGCAGTGAGATCCATCCTCATGGTTGGCGACTTGGGATGTTTGGGATTGTGGAAAAGGGTTGTATGTGTATATGAGTGGATGAATAATGATATGGCGACTTGGGTTTTTGTGGAATATGGTTTGTCTATCATATTTTTTTCAACGTTTAATCTCGCCTAGGCAACGACTAATCAGTCTGGGCGCTAGACGGTGCCTCCTCGCCTAGATAGCGCCTAACATCTTTTTGAACATTGATTATTCCACTAGAAAATTTGAGGAAATTATTTAATTTTTTCTTTTAGAATACTCTTTTATCCTTTAAAAACAAAACTAGATTCTCATACTGAACTAACCAAATGTAAATTGCCAAATAAACCCCAACACAACTGAGCTAAGAAATTAAAATATTTGGGAGGGATCTACAATGCAAATTCATCTCAAATTAACACTCCCAAAATTGAAGTCAAACAAAACTCCTAGCTACTACACTTCTTTTTTCCTCGATCAAATCTGCGTGAATCCAAAGCCGATAACTGCGATGGCAATGGTGGCGATGTGGGGGCATCCCTCAGACAACGAGAGAAGGAAGAAGGTACTCAACTTGCAACAACAGGCAAATGCAACAAGCGAGACAATGATGATTGACGGAGACCTCATTTGGGTTTTGGGAGAACCCGAATCTAGGAGGGAAGAGAGAACTATGGTTTGACGAGAGGCCCACCAAAGGTTGAATGGTCTTTGCATTCATAATTAAAAAAAATATCTTACCACCCTAACGGAGTACACCACTCTCCGAAATCAAATGCATGGAATTGAAGAGGAAACGTCGCTCAAAGCTTTCACTTTCATCAGGTTCCTCATCCGCTCTACAATTCCTCTTCCCTGGTGATGGTTCCTCTTTAGGGCCCGACAAAATACACCACTAGAGGAGCTCCTATCGCTCTATAGTATTTAATATCTAACTGCCAGCTTAAAAATGAAAGCTAACTCAATTTAATCTCCCAGGAAAAATCGTAGTCGATTCCAGTGATGAATCATTTTCCCCATTCCTTTGTCCTTTCCTTCTTTTCCTCACGTGATTGCCACCACCGTCAAATTCACCAAATTTGACTTCCCTTCCTTCACCATCCGCAACCTCACCCTCACTCACCACTCCTACCTTCGCAACATCATTATCGTCCTAACCCCCAACGTCTTTGTCCCTATTCGAATGAGCATTATCATCTCAATTGTAACATCCCAAACCAAACGAAATAAATAAAATAAATTTATTCTCTATAATTGTAAATTTACAATCGAAATTCTATGTCGTGGAATTTACGTCGTCAACGGAAAAAGGATGTATGTGGAAGCAATAATAATAATTATAGTAATTGATTATTATGTGTGTACATATATGTATACATTTTGAAATTATAGAGAAAAGAAAAATAAAATAAAAAGTTGATGGCAACAGGTTTTGAAACATTGACCTTTTGCTCATTAACTAACAACTTAGCCTCTCGGCTACAAGGTTATTAATGCACAAGGGCTCTCCGGTTTGATTAAATACATGTTTACGTCCTTCTGTATGCAACCAGCCCGCCTTAACTCCGACGTCGTCGTTTCAATGGAAGAGCCGACATTCTTGGCACATCGTCGAACACTTCCAGGACGTGTCGAGCTCCGAATATGTATCTTTCAATCGGCGCCCGACGTTGGAAATGGATTTTTATCATTCCAACGCTCCTGCAGGATAGAAGGCGGCCTTTAGGGTTTTAATTCTACTTCGGCGTGATTAAAGCAGGGGAGAGGGAGCTTGGGACAGCATATAGGAAGAGGAACGATTCTTCTTCTGTTTTTCCTGAAGTAGTCACCGAGAGGAAATAAAAGGGCAAGAAAGGGAAGAAGAGGGAAATTGAATCATCTTAGGGTTGGGTTTAGGTAATAGGACCCCTATAATTCGATTGGTGGAGCCAGAAATCGGTTTCGACGCTTGTAAGAAGTTCGTCAAAGGATCATCGTCAATCCCGACGTCGACGTCGGCATCGCTAACTGCAACGATAATTCCGAATCTTGGTACCGATGCGTAGAGCTCGTCTCCAGGAGCATCACGGAGTTGACGGATTCGAATTCCGAGCTCGAACGAGGGAAACGAGGTTCGAAAGTTTGTGCGTATAATTGTACGATTTACAAGTTCTGGAACTGCTCCAGACAGTTCGAAAATATAGAGTACTGTTATGTAATTTGTCATACTAATTAGTAATCGGCTCGCAGTTTCTTCGTTTGACGTCCAAGCGACGAACCGTTTGCGCCTACACGACCATGGGAACGAGGAGAATTTTATAGAGTCAATCTCTAGAATTTTAGAACTTGATTCTCGACTTGGAATCGGCTAAATTAAGGTGTGTGGGGATTAAGAGGACCTTAATTATTGCATTGATTATTTATGCTTGATTTGCATATTTGGATGGATGGATTACTGTGGGTGATAACTTATTTGTTGATATGATGATTTGGTGATTATTCTTGATTGTTATGGATTTTACGGTGTAAATATCGGTATTTGACAAGTTTCACCGTAAAAATAGATAGTTGGGTTTATTGAGTTTAAAACTGATCTAAGATATTTTTGTTTGTCTAAAATGATGTTGGGGCAGATTGAGCAGAAGATTTCACTGGAAAATTGTTTCCGGATTAAAAACTGCATAATAGTGAATTTTACGGAAAGCTCAGTAAAAATGTATTTTATTTATCTTTAAGGTTTTGATCACTTTAAAATGGTCAGTTTCGATTGTTAAATGGGTTTTGGTCTGGAAAGGGTAAATTAGACAGTTGGTGAAGTTTTTATCTTTAAAATGGTAAAAACGAGCTTAATATGAGATTTGCGGTAAAGACTGAGTGTAATATTATTTTCATGGTTTTGAGCTGTTGAAAAATATAAAAACTAGACAGACCTGTTTTAGGATGATAAATGGAGGTTCTTGTGTTTTTGGGAGATTTTCGGATTTACCATTTTGTTGGAATTTAAGTTACCGTAAAATAATGGTTAATACGAGATTTTTTATATTTTATTGTCTAAATTGATTTTTATGACCAGAACTGGATTAAATGGATTGTTGTGTCAATAAATTCACTTACATGAATTTTGTGAGGATTTTAATGAATGAAAGTGAATTTTGAGTTAAGGATATTTGTAACCGCAACCGGGTTATTTACAATTATTTGCATCGGGGCTATTTCGTGAAATTGTTGATGAATTTTGGATGAGGAATGGTGATATGGTACTGCTGAGTAGCTTTACTGGAGAACGAGATGATTTATGTGATTTGGTATTGGATGATGGGATAGTTGATTATTAGAAACGTCGAGTTGATAATCGACGGGAAATATATATGGACCGGTTAATCAGTGGGACTACATTGATTCCGGATTGTTTGTGATGGATGAGAAAATGGAAATGGTTTGATTCGTGACCATATTAATTCATGTAGATGTAGAAAGGGCCTGCACTTACCCTCACCCCTTGAGAGTGGGTAGATTTAGCTCGCTTATGCGATTGAGTGTTGTGGTTTCATGAGCACCACGGATGAGTGTTGTGGTTAAAAACCACGGATTGAGTGTTGTGGTTGCATGAGCACCACGGATGATGATTTGCTCGAGCGAGGGTAAGTGTATGGTGACCTTGGCGCCATTAATAATTAACCGGAATTTTCATATCATGCATTGATTATGTGTTCGTGAAATTATGTGATTGTCTTATTTGATAAATTGGTTCGATGATGATGAGTTGTTGAATTCGATACATTGATCCCTTATATACGATGACCTAGGGTGTCATCTAGACTATTGAATTGTGATTACATATGACTATGTGATTAACTTATTGCAGTCCAAAACTAGGTTGTGGGAAAGATCCACACACACAACTTAGTTGCTGACCCACTTCTGTTCTGTTTCTTACAGGTTCAAATGATTTGAGAGAAACTCTGGCACTGCACAATGATCGATGGAGGATTGGTTTTGAAGTTTTCCCAGATTTTGAAATAACTCTCATTTATGTTTTATCAGTCGATGATTTGGGTATTGCATAGTAGATGGTACCGTAATGAGCATAGTAGTGAATGACACTCTGATTTGGTTTACATGCAATAAATGAATTAGATCGAGTTGATGTATGGTATATGATGAGTAATTGGAGAATTGATGGTTGTGATTGTTGGTTTAAAATAATGTAGGTATGTATATTATCAGTGGTAAACAATTGAGTTTTTGCGTAACCCCCAATAAAGA